TAACAGGCACTATGTGTTGAGTCTACTGGGTGACAATCCTAAATATTGTACTAACAGGCACTATGTGTTGAGTCTACTGGGTGACAATCCTAAGGATTGTAATAACAGGCACTATGAGTTAAGTTTACTGGGTGTCAATACTAAATATTGTACTAACAGGCACTATGAGTTGAGTCTACTGGGTGACAATTCTAAGGATTATGATAACAGGTACTGTTAGTTGAGTCTACTGGGTGACAATCCTAAGGACTGTGATAACAGGTACTGTTAGTTGAATATACTGGGTGACAATTCTAAGGATTGTGATAACAGGTACTGTTAGTTGAATATACTGGGTGACAATTCTAAGGATTGTGATAACAGGTACTGTTAGTTGAATATACTGGGTGACAATTCTAAGGATTATGATAACAGGTACTGTTAGTTGAATATACTGGGTGACAATTCTAAGGATTATGAGAACAGGTACTGTTAGTTGAATATACTGGGTGACAATTCTAAGGATTGTGATAACAGACACTGTTAGTTGAATATACGATCTTGTACCTGATGACGACAAAACCTTGTCGAAACGTTGCACATTTGCTGTTATGTTAAACTTATATTAAAGTTTTTCTTCATTACTCATTCAAGCCGTTTCCAAGCATCATAAACCATACTTTTTGGAACACAATGCTTTCCTATTTCTGTCCACTTCATCATACTTTCCAATAATCCTGAAAATCTCTGCCATTCCCATCACACTATTTTTGTTTTTTTAATTTTAGAACACAACACTATTTGGAATTCTTCCAAAGAAATTTTTAAAACAAAACAATAGCAAGCAAGCCACGTGTAAGACTGACAAAGACTAAACAGTGCTCACAAGACAGTGGCACCGATTGTTCTCAAGGTCAGCACAGTGTTGCCAATTTTGAAAAAATCGTACTTTTCAGGAAACACATAAATTAATTTTACATGTAATATTCTTTTTTTTATTTTACATGACTTTATTTCACTGCCATTTTTTACACAAAAATTTACAAAATAAAATATTTATTACAAAAAATTGGCATGGCAATGGTTCACCATCCCTGGTTTATATCAAAGTTCAATATCAATAAAAGAAAAAGATTAAAATGAAGTTAGAAAGGTTATGTAGATTAACTGGCAGATCCAACCTCTTAGAGTGAAAAAGTATTAACAAAATTGAAGTAAATTCAGATGAGAACAGCTTCACAACTATTAGTCATTAGTGGAAATGGTCAGTAGAAGATATGATTATTTAACTCAATATTACTGGAGGTACATACACACGAATTATGAGTATTGTTATTATACATAAATGTTAACTTAATGAAGTTTTAATTGTCAGATATTTAAAACAGATGGCTTACTTGTATATGACTGAGTTCAGGAATGGGAGTGATCTTCTTGAATCTCATTCGAAAAGTCTCTAAACATGTAGGAACATATTTATCAAACAAAATCATTAGATTTGCTTTTTCCGACTGGACTTCCCGAGTATCAATCCAGCTGGCAACATAGGGGTTCCAACCGAGATCTCCTGGATTTAGAAACAAAATTCCAGCTCGAGACACTGTGGCTGGAGTAGCAGTGCGCAAATTACTGATTTCAAACACGAGCCTCATCGATGGTGTCAGAGAAATCCGCTCGTTGCTAGCAAGTGTCAAGACCTATAATATAGGGGTTAAAATCATGTGCAAGATCATGAACAGGTTCAGTTTTTAACCAGAATTATTTACAATAGAAAAAGTAATTCATTTACATAATAAACACACTTCGCAAGATTTGTATAATACAGATGTAAGGAAGAGTTACTAACTCAAAACTAAAAAAAAAAGATGTTGAGGTAAACAGTTTGTATCTCTATTGGTGTATTTAACATAAAGTTACCTATTATCAATCTATATGATAAAAACTACACTGCTCTTGGCTTATCATAAACTTATCAATACCCCCCCAGTGGCCCAGCGATATGTCTGTGGACTTACAATGCTAGAATCCGGGATTCGATACCCATGGTGGGCAGAGCACAGATAGACCATTGTGTAGCTTTGTGCTTAATTACAAACAAACAAACAAAACTATTATCAATTTGTATGATCAAACTTCTCTGCTATTGACTTATCATAAACTTTCCTATTATTAATCTATATGATTAAAACTACTCTGTTTTTGGTGTATTTATCATAAACTTACCTATTGTCAATCTATATAATTAAAACTACTCTGTTTTTGGTGTATTTATCATAAACTTACCTATTGTCAATCTATATGATTAAAACTACTCTGTTCTTGGTGTATTTATCGTAAACTTACCTATTGTCAATCTATATGATTAAAACTACTCTGTTTTTGGTGTATTTATCCTAAACTTACCTATTGTCAATCTATATGATTAAAACTACTCTGTTCTTGGTGTATTTATCATAAACTTACCTATTGTCAATCTATATGATTAAAACTACTCTGTTCTTGGTGTATTTAACAAACTTTCTATCTTTCTACTAAACTTTTGATATGTATTGAACCATCTTCCAAAATAAGCCTTGCACTTTAAAACTATTTTTATAAGTTAATAAGCTAAGCAATATCACAGAACTGCTACCCATTTTATAAAAACT